TCATTGCTATTGACAGGTGTTTCTCTCCCCGAGTGGGAGCTGCCTGAGAGCATGACGTTACATTCTTAATGTCTGTGTTCTGGGCTCAAATGCTGTGTGGGATAAACATTTGCCAAACAAGAGGGTGAAGCTCCCTGAGATGTGCAGAGTCTCAGAATTAGAATGGATCAGGGACCGTAAGATGTGCTGCAGAAGATGGGGCTGTAGTTGGTCCAGGCAGGGTCACATTTATAATGTTTGTGTGTAGATTGTGGACCTTTTGTGGGTACTTTCAGATATAATAAAAATATTATAATTTATTGGTATGCAGATGCATATAATCAAGGGTAAATTCATCACTGTATATACATCCCTGTTATATTTATTTTGAATTTATATTTTGAATCAATGAAAACATTTTCATGGATCATAAAGCATATTTGGGGCTATAGGCACTAGGTTTATTATGGGCAGTAGATAGTCTTTGTGTGTGTATATGTGTGCACGCATGTGCATGTACACACACGTGTGTTTGTGCACGCACTGGCCTTGATGGGAGAACTGGGCACATGGGTGGACACTTGAGGCTGCAATGATCACTAGGTAGTGGGGAAGCTACGTTGGGGAGAGAGGCAGCTGGCCTAACCAGGTCTTTTCGATGTTATTTTGTTCCCTTTATAGTGTGTCCCGCCTGTTCTCAGATGCTCGAAGACTTCTTTTATACAGCCAAAAAGACACCAGCCTTAAGGACATGCACAAGGTCCTGAGAACATTACGGCAGATCAAGCATTCCAGCTCAAGTAAGCAAAATCCTCCCGTTCATGCATCTGGAAGTGGACATTTCCCCGCCCGTGTGGCCTGGGCTTGTTCTCCAGCTTGCTGTAGAGCAGGCTTCTTCTTCAGTGGCTGTGCGGTCAGTCTTCTCTGAAGGAAGCCTTGGCAACAAAACTAGAAAAGCTAGTTGTACAGACAGTGATTCTGAGGACAGCGATCCCAGACAGAAATGGCACTGGCTTGCCATTAACACCAGCCACCAGGAACACAGGTGGCTGCCAGGGGCATTTTTGAGTTGTCCATAGGATTTCCATGGATAGACGAATTCATAGCTGAGGTGTTTCTGTGTGTGTTAGAGCAGTTAGCATTCTGCCTTGATAAGGGTAAATAAATGTTAGGCAACTTGGCTAGAACGGTAGCCGTTTGGGTTATTCTGACAGGCATTTGAGTTCCTGTCTTGAAACAGTGAAGTCTTTACCTCAGATTCGCTAAGTGCCAGTTAGTTCCTGGCAATGCCACTGAGGAAGTGCCTGAGGAACATACAGTTTGCTGACCAAGACCTTGGCAGCAGATGGGCAGTTGCCCGTCAAGGGGGTGGGGCATGTTTGATGGTCACTGGTGCAGGTAATGTTGTGTACAGTGAGGATTGAGAAGCCACCAGGGACCCTTGAGGGTGCTGGTCTTTTTCTTGTTACTATGTGTTGCTGTTCTAAACTGTCAGTGATGGAGTATTTCTTCCATCATGGGCTGACAGTGGCCACCGCTCCAAGAAAGTCCTTTTTACCCAGTTTGACAGTTGAGGAGGGAATGGATTGGCCTAGCCTTTCTTGAAAAGCCCCTCTCCCTGTTTGTGATCCATTTGGCATTGAGAAGAAATGATGTAAAATGTTAATGCTTTAGAGGATTGGGTGGGTGCCTTTCGTGAGGACACAGAACTGTGATTTCCTCGGGCAGGAGAAGATGCATTGTGGGGGCTGGAGAGCTCAGAAGTGACCAGTACATGGTGCCTTTCCAGAGGACCCAAGTTCAGTACCCAGCCCCCACTTTTGGGGACTCACAACTGCCTATAACTCTAGCTCCAGGGATTCTGGTGGCTTCTGGCCTCTGAAAGCATTGCACTCACGTGCACAAGCCACTCTGCCTCCCGAGTGCTGGGATTAAAGGCATGTGCCACCACCGCCCGGCTCCTTGGATTATTTTTAAGACCAGACATCTCAGACAAAATATTTAACTTTTCTGAGACCTAGCTTCCTGAATTATATATAATAAGATTACATTTTTATATATAGTATAGTGATATATAATTATATCATTAATATAGTAATACCTAAGATGTAAAGTCTGACTAACACAAGTTTTGGCACGTAGGTGACACTTAATAAGCAGAAGTCAGTGCCATCCTCACACGGCATTGTTGCATTTCTGACCATGTGACCTGTTCTTCTTCTTAATTTGCGGGGCTGGCAAAGTGGAATGGCAGAGTTTCTGGTTCTTCATGTAGGCTGCCTTAGAGAGGAGGGTGCTTTTCTTCTGTTAGCAGCCGGTGTTGTGAAGTAGGGTGGAGGAAAGAAACCACAAGTGTGTGCACAGCCTTCAGAAAGAAGCTGGCTTCCGGTGTTCAGTGTCCCCTTTGCCCTGCAGCTGGTTTTGCTTTGTTTCAGTATGTTTTCCTGTGTGGGGGATCAAACCCAGGAACTTGTACAAGCCAGGCAAGCACTGAGCCACACTGAGCTACATCTGTAGCCACTGCTGGTTCTTGAGTTTCTGTCATTTTTCTTCGTTTATCCTGCAACAGAAAGCCAGGCCCCAGTTGTAGGGGGACTACTGAAAAATGCTTCTTCCTTCTCTAGAAAGTGGTCACCTTTTGCTGATTAAAAAAAAAAAACCCTATTAGTCTGAATTGGAAGCTGGGGATGTCACTGTTGTTTGCTACCAAGAGATCTGTACCATCCTTTTATTTCCACCTCTGGTGAGGTAACTCATTTTGGGCATTGGTAGCCCAAACTGTGGGGAAGTTTGCCACCATGCTGAACCTTATAGGGAATTAGTCTAATTCTGTGCCCCTCAAAAATCTGAGGACTGTTCTCATATCTCTTCCTGAAGTCTTTTATTTTTCTGGTCTAAATATCCTCCAACCCTCTTACGCAATGCTTTTCCTCCCAACTTCTGTTAGTTGCGTCTCAGGGTGTTTGTGTCATTCCTGAAGTTTACCAGAAATTACAAAAGAATTTTAGCATAGAGGAGAAAGGGACTTTTGCCTGTTCGAGTGTCGTATTTCTCTCTGTGCAGTCTGAGATTGCATGAGGCTTTTGATGTTCTTGTCATCCTGTTGACTCATAGTCCATGTGCAGCCAACTCAAACTGCAGATCTTACGAACACACAGAACTGCAAGTGACTTGTTCTCTTTTCCCAAATTCTACCGCTGGCTTTCTGAGCTAAAGGGGACATGTCCATCTCTCCCAACGTACATCGTTAAATCTACTCTCTCGTCTTACTCTAACCCCTTCAGACTCCGATTCTGCTATGATTATACAGCTGCTACTTTTTGCTGTCTGTCTTCTATGAGTTCAGTGACTCTCTTTTTGATATTCCAGACATTGATCACTATGAGAACAAGGCTGGAGGCTGGGATTGGTCCTCTAGAGGCGGCCAATATCTTTGGACAGTACTTCTTAGGATCTTAGAGAGCTATTTGTCCATGTGATCATCGCTGGAACTGCTGGGTCCTTCTTTGGAGTCCATTTGGAGATGTCATCTTTTTTCTTTCCTTAGCTTACCTCTGCTAAAGCCATTGGCCTGCCCATAGGGACTCTGTAGACATGGGAGTCTACTCAAACACTCATGTCTGTCTCAGAGTTTCTTGGGCAACAACATTGGTTTGCCTGTAGATTCGTGGGGCTGACTGCTTCAGGTTTTCAGCCCTGTGCCCACCACGCTTATGTAGGTGCTGTGATGGGGGTGGGTGGAGGTCTTCCTAGGGGGATTCTGATACTGAAAGTGGAGGTGACTCCAGTTTACACAGTCATGCAAGTGCCATCCTACACAAACAACAATTCTTAATTCTCACCCACATCAAATTGCAGATTCATGAGTATTATTGCTTCAGTGGGTATTAAGAAAGAAACGATGAATTAAGGAAGGCATTGTCTCGTGGCTGTGGGGAAATTCTGGAGAGCAGATTGTTAAAGACTGAAGGTCGGACTTTGCTGGTGCAGGAGAAAGACTTGAGACTTCAGGTGACAGATTTAGGTTCTCACTCTCCCTAGCTGTGACCTTTGAATCTTGTTGGTACTCCACTTACTAGAAGTTGGACACTAGCTCCCCTGTGGGTCACAGAGCGTTCAGTGATGTCCTTTCTGTAGGTTTCCACCAGTGAACATGACCCCAGGGGGTGACACACAGTAAACCAGAAATACTTTACTTCCCCTGTATTCCAGAGTGTTTGGCCTTTGCCAACTTATTTACCTTTTCTGGACCTTCACTTTCATTGTCTAACATTTGAGATTTGGTTCAATGACTTGAAGAGGCTTAGACTTCGTCTGGCTCGGTCCGTGGGTGGGGACACGTGTGGTGGTGTGGGTTACTAGGTTGTAGCTGTTCAGGGCAGGGTTAGGCCATGTTGGGGGTTCTGCTCTGAACAGCAGTACGTCAGGGATGCATAGTAACCCTGAGTGTATCCTTAGATACTGAAGAGAGAGCAGCCAGCTCTGATCCCAGCCCTTTCTCCTCAATTCATGTTGTCAAGTCAAGTGAAATTCCTCTGGAGGACATCGGGGCCCACACAGGCAACTGTAGATCCACTTCCCTTGTGTAAACCAGAACCCCCCCCCACACACACCCAAAGGCTCAAAACTGATGCCAAGTCTGTCTTGATTTTCTTTCACAAAGTTGACCCCCCCTCCAATTTCAATGACATACACTGGAAAGGTGGCTTTTCATGTCCATGGTCGGCCCTCTTCTGAGCCCCCAGGGCATCTTAGCAATGTGTGTACTCCCCAATAATGTTTTCGTAAAATCTGCAAAGGTTAGATTCTTAAACAAAAATGTAGCCTGTATTATGTGAGTTCCAGGCACTCGGGTGGAGGAGGAGGAGGCCCCTGCCCACTAGGAAGCCCCCTCTACCCTTAGCCTCCTCTCTAGGCTCTGTCCTTCAGCCTTACTTACTGCATCTGCTTCTCTCGGGTAAGGTCTCGGTGGCCTCTTGTCTAAGAATGGTGAGGGGGCCCAACGAAGCCCTTCCCAGTGGTTAGTTGTCAGTAGTTAGGACAGGGCTAAGGAAGAAGGTGACTGCTTTTTGCTGTGGGCAGTACCCTTACTGCTCTGCCTTTTAGTTTTTAGCTCCTTAAGATGGTTTGCACAGTAATAATGAACAAACACGTTCAAAGCTGCTTCCCACTGGGCTTGTCTGCTCGGGTCTCCACCTTTTCCCCCTGCAGCCCTTGTCCCATCCACAGTGGATGCAAGTTTCTGTGACAGGTCAGGGCTCCCTATGAGGTATGGAATTAGGAAGTGCTTATTTATTCTGTGGGCTGAGGCTTGTATAGCCGTTTCAGGGTAGACCATCCTCACAGCCTAAGGGGAACCCCCACAACAAAACACACACATAACCATTTCCCCACAATTAGCTAACCCGTCGTCCAGTGAAGTCCACAGGGGCTCCCAGAGTCTCACTGGTGTTTATGCTGGCCTAGGGACAATCCGACTTGTATGGGTTCTGTAGAAGTTCTGCATTCTTTACATCTGTGCACGATCCAAGTGGTGTGGCTAGGGCTATCAGTTCCGTGGTGTGGCTGAATGCCAGCCAGCTGATCTCTTGGGTGAATGGGACCCAGCCAAGATCCTAGCTCTTAGCTCTCTAGGTGTCTGGCCCTGTCCCAATTGACAGCCACACTGGCATGATTTAAGTATAGAAGTCCAGAGGGTACTTTGCGGACTGCAGAAGACTCTTTTCTGGTCCTTTGTGTTTGGTCCAGGATAGGCAGCTGGCAGCTGAGGGATGATCTCAAAACTCTATCTGTGTGCGTATGCACTCCATGGTCCTTGGGAGTGACACGGTCCCTGAGAACTGTGCTCTTTCAAGTTGGGCACTGTCCACCCCACAGGGCTGTCTGCTGTGGCCTTCTGTTCGCTTTGTCTTCTAGTGGTGAAGACGATAGTGACAGCTCACAGCCCTTCTTACTGTCCCATCTCTGATTCGGGGGCTCTTTCAGATGTGTTCTCTCCAGGATACAGAGCCCTTGAAGCTGCTATAAACATTGCCAGGGTGAATCTTGGGCATGCTGGCACTGGACTGGATGGAGATGTCCCCAGGTTACTGAGACCGGAAGAGATCCAGGGCAGTGTTAGTGCATGTCAACGTCCTGAGTTAAGTCTGCTTGTCTCTGTCCCTTCAGCTAGGTGTCATGTTGAGGCATGGCTGCCATTTTCATTTGTTCATAATACAAAGCTGGTTTGACCTTTCCATTGTGGCTTGGACCAATGCATCTGTGCATTTCTGTCTGCAAGCCATGCTGGACTTTGCTTGGAGAAACCGCTATTTCGTTTTTGCCTGTCTAGTGATACTGACAACTCCAATATGGATCTTTGATTCTGCGTTAATCTTTGAAAGTAAAAAAGAGGTGAGCTCCAGAGGGCAGAATGGTTGTGGGAAACTTGGCATGGAAGTTGGCTGAGGCAGGGATTTAAGGATAGCTGTTGATGAACAATGAACAATTTTTAAATATCCCCTGAGCTGGACAGTCAGAGTAGCTGGGTTCAAATCCCGCCTCTGCTGCTGCTCATTTGTACCCATGCCTAATATATACCGCTCCTGTGCCTCACTTTCCTCAAAATGGGATAACAATAGCATCACCTCCTTAGGGATTGTGCAGCAATAAAAGGAGCCAATAAGAACAAGGCCTTTCCATAGAGACCTGATGATACCCAGTAGGTAGTCAATGAGAACAAGGCCTTTCCATAGAGACCTGATGATATGTGAACAAGGCCTTTCCATAGTGATCTGATGATACCCAGTAGGTAGCCAATGAGAACAAGGCCTTTCCATAGTGACCTGATGATACCCAGTAGGTGGCAGATCTCTTCTCTAGTTCACTGTGTTGTCGCAGTTATCACGGGAGGGAGGGCATCTCTCTTTGAAACTCAGAGAGGCTAAGTACCTTGCCTGAGAAACCCCCGTTGGCAACAGGTGACAAGACTAGACTCATTCTTTCACACTTTCTTGCTGTCACACCCTAGAGAGAGCTGACCTGGACACCCTGACGGCCCTTGCGGTCCCTGTGTGCAGGGGTACAGACAGACTTGGGTGGGGAAGGATAAGAAGGCTGTTGAGATGCATTCCAGATTGCCGTCACTTCCCAGCTTCCTGTGTAACAGGCACCAGGGGACGTTTTTCACCCAGGTCTATCTCTGAAGACCATCTGGTGACTCACCTCCACTTCTCCTTTTTGCCTGAAGTTCTGCCTTTTGTTTCATTGGGGCCGTTGCTCAAGTCGGGGTTATAGCCCCAAATGTCTGGCTTTCTGTCCTCATGTCTGACGCCCTTGTGTCATCTTGTTGGGAGACCCGATGACGTGTCCGCATGTCATCAAAATGGAAAGCCTGTAAAATCTTCAGGTGGTTGTGATTCACCTCCTGTGTGTGCTTGTCTAACGTTTTGATCTGAGGCTTTGGGGCTTCATCGTTTGAAACCTTTCTCCCTCCACGAACATCTCCCCAGACCTGTCACAGCCACGCCGTGTCCCGGAGCCCAGTCTGTGGGGTTGCCATCCAGGGCAGAGGCCTGGCTCCAGCTGAGCAGTACTCGGGACGCGGAGCTCCAGTGCAGTGTTGAAATATTGCTTGAGCTAAATCGAACCAAAGGTCAGCTTTACCCAGACAGGCATAGAAAACAATTGCGTTCAATTACAGAATGCCACGGACCCCACAATATGAGGCTGCTTTTTAAAAAGCTTGATTTGTGACCATCAAACAACAGCGCTGTCCGTCTCCTGCCTTTCCCGCTTGAGATTTGTTTACCCTGTGGGTGGTAAGGAGCAGCTCGGGCAAAGGCTTTGTGTCTCATTGAAAACTCCGTGCTTCTAGCCCTCCTGCCCTCCTCTCTTGCATGGAGGCACTGAAAGCCAATGTTAAATTGACTCTGTCTACAGACAAGGTCGTACGTGGTCGTGATGACATCTTGCATTGAAAGATTTTAATGCATAGTATACATTCACTACACGTGGCCTCAGGTCATACAGGGATACACTCACATAGGTACACTTGGCGTGCTTGGTGCTGTGTTATATCAGGGTGGACTAACATAAATAGGCATTGTATATTTGGTCTCATGTTGTATAAGGGTATATGCAGGTATGCATTGTATGTTTCATCTCGTATCATACAAGGATTATGCTCACACAGGTATGTCTGCATTGTATGTTCGGTTCTGTGTCATGTACGGGTGTAGTCACATAGGTATGAAGTGTAGGTTGAAGATACGCCTCCCTTACCCTTCCTTTTCTTTTGCTCAGCCCTTCCCTCTCAGAAGTTCACCTTGTTTTCCTAAACCATTCTGCTTCTACCTTTATGTCATACATAGGTGGTTCTAGGTCTCTATATAAGATCTAGGCCCCAAGTGAGAGAAAACATAGGATATCTGTTTTTCTGAGACTTAACTTAGATTAATGGGATTATCTCCGGTTGTTTCCCTTTTCTCCAAAATCCATAGCTTTGTTCTTTATGGCTGAAAAATATTCCATCTCTTCCTCAGTTGTAAGACGTCCAGAGCTTTGGTGAGCATTGATGTGTATGTTTGTCATTGTGGAAGTTTCCATTTTGAGCGGACTGTTGAATTTGGTTCTTTGAAGCGGCATTCGCCGCCGATCAGTACCATCCCCATTTTATGGATAAGAAAACTGAGTCTAAAACGGTTGCATCTATTGCTCAGTGACACAGGGTCATACCTTGGGTCCAGGTCTCTGAAACTTGAAATTCCACATTTTTCTTCCATACCATGATGGCCGGGCTGCCGCGCTCCAACGCGGGGAAGTGTGGGTGCCATTGCCAGCTCTTGATATTGGAAAGTCAAACGATTCCTGTAGCTGCCAGTAGCCTGGGGGAGAAGCGGAGTTGTGAAATCAAGAGTTGTTGGGTTTTAAGCTCGCCTCTGGCTTGTCCTGTGACCTTGAGCCAGCTACTCCCTGCTCCCGACTATTTCCTGGTTTGGAAAAATGAGGGTAACTATAGTACCTTTCTCGGAAGCGGGCTTTAGAGGTTCTGGAAATTGATCTGTATAATGTGTCTGAGGCTTTGTCAATACGGCGGCGCAGTGTTTCCTGCCTCAAAGTGCCACCGCGTCCTGGTAAGTTTATTAATTTTAGACATTAGAAGAAATCAGACAATTTCTCCCGAAACCCGCCTGGAAAGAATCCCACCTCAGTGCCTGCCATGTGTTTGTCTTCCTTTCCTTCTCCTGTTCTCTGGTCTGTCTGTCTTGGCCTGTCTCTATGTCTCTGTTTTTCATTGTCTCTCTCTGCCTATCTCTCTCTGTCTTTCCGTCTGTTTTCTCTCCGTGTGTATGAATATGGAGGCCAGAAATTGAAACCAGGGGTCTTCCTTGCTCTCCACCACATAGACTGAATCGTGTTCTCTTATTTAAACCCAGGACTCAACTATTTGGCTAACTTACCTATCTGGGGATCATGTCCTCTGTCTCTAGTGTCTCTCCTGAACTACCTCCCCAACCCCTGTTCCCTGGGTTTTTCAAGTCCCCACGAACTGATTCTAGTCCTGCATCCTTAAGTGTCTGGTTTTAATCACTTAGAGACAGGTCATGCCTTATAACTGGATGGCTTAAACTCTCCCCTCCCCAGACCTCCCCACCTCCGTCCCTTCTGTCCCATTCAGTCTTTCCTGTGGTTTTGACCGTTCTCTTCTCTCTCCTTCTATCTTCCAAGCACACTCACAGTGCTCTGTACACCTCCGCTGTCACAAAAGGCTCCCTAGGAAGGATTTTCTTATCAGCCGTTTTTCGTGTTTCCCCTGATATTGGCTTCCTGTTTCTCGTTTCTCCTTAGGCTCAGAAGTCCTTTGGGCCAGTGTTAGCAACTCACATTACCTTTCCTTCTGGGTTCTCTCAGCCAGCCTGCCTGTGGTCACCACCTGCTGACCAGCGAGAACCACAGCCTTCTCTTGCTCCTTGCTACCATTCCCTAGATGACACAAGTCCTCATTTCAGTGGCTTCTAGCAGCTTCTCCCACTTCCTTCTTGTCAGCAAGACAAGCATATTGGTTTAGTCCACTCTAACTACCGTAAGAAAATACCCATGACTCAGAACATTTACACAATAGAAATTGTTTCTAAAGAGCCTGGAAGTCCAAGGTTGGGGATGTGGCAATGTCATTCTCTCTCCAGAAGAGGGTGGGATGCCCTCTTCTGGAGGGGAAATCTCTTTCTTTATTCTAACCTGATAAAAGGGACATAGATATATTAATAAAGTATTATTCTGACTTTTTCTGTATATGAGTGTTTGCTTGTATCTATGTGTGTCTTCAATAAAAGGCATAATGCCATCCAAGCAGACTCTGCTCTGATGATCGCTTTATTACCTTGTAGGCCTCTAATTTCCCAGCATTCTTCTCCTGTCCGGAGAACTACTGCCGTAATGCATGGGTCTAGGGAACGGTGCCCCCTTCTAACTATGATCTCAATCTTGTCTGATTCCAGAATAGCAGACAGGACCACTCTGCCCTCTTATTCTGTTCCGGTCTCCTCTTAGTTGTCAAGGGCAGGGAATATATCTTACAACATCTCTTTTGTTCCTGCTTTTGGGACACACTGAGTGGTTTTATTCCTTTGAACTTAGCACTGCTATTTTGGCACAGTAGACATTAACTAATGCACACTTCCTTGCTTTCACCAAATAATTTAAACAACACAAGGTATCTAAAGCTTCGTTACTTCTCTTGCTCCAGAGAGAAGATTGCTGTTGTTTGCCCCCAGAGAGTTCAGGGTGTGAAGCCATGAATAGTCAGGTCCTTTGGCAGCTGTAGACCAAATCGCCAGGACCGTTTTATCAACATGTATTTTGAATGTACTTACTCTCCAATTTGTGTTTTCTTGTGCATTATTTATGACACATGCTTAGTGCTTTTAGTGCTTGCTTGACTCACACTGGAAGGTAGACCTCTGTTTACAAAATACAGAGGCTCAGAAGACCTGAAAAGTGACTTCCAAAGTCTATAGAACTGGAACATTCTGGAATTGCGATGTGATACGGTTCATTAGATTCCAAAGTTGAGCTTTCTGAAGTTTCTGGAATTCTTCAGAAAGCCTTCACGGTAGAAATAGAAACTTCTTCAGGGCCCCATGACTAGCAGGGAGATCTCAAGGCAGGTGCACCCCACAATCTGCCCCACCCTTGTCCACACTAACAATTACCCCAGGGTATAGCTATCCAGCTGCCCCTCCTTCTCTAGAGTATCCCACAAAGCCTTCTGGAGACATCTCACCCCTGAAGAAAGCACAGCCCTGCATCCCAAAAGAAACCCAAGAAACTGATCCCTCAAAGCTGGGCAGGGTGGCAAGTCTGTAAATGCCAGGACTTGGGAGGCAGAAACAGGGGAGTGAGGAGTTCAAACCCAGCTTTGGCTGCACAAGACTCTGGCCTCCACCAAGGAGCCAAGTAACCAACTGAAAAACAGGTGCGATGTTTCCAGGCCCTTGTAGCTGAAAATATTTCAGTCTTGTTTATAAGACTTACCAAATAGGCCTGAGTAAAACCGCAAGAATGCCATCAGTCCCCCTCACCCCTCACTTCAAGTCTTTACCCGTTTGGTAGAGCAGGGCCGCCACTATCTGACCCTGCCGCCACCCCAGGGGTTCCACTTAAGAAGACTGCAGGCCAGGGATGCTGTTGTGTCTTTCTCAACTTCTCCTTTTCCTCCTTTGCTTCCTCCACCCACTTCTCAAGCTGCTGATTGTTGTGGTTCCTTTTTGTGGAGAACACAAGACTGCAGAGATCTTGAAACTTAAGCTGGGGCTTGGAGAGGGCACTGACCGAGAGTAACCTAGGTGATGGGTGCCAGGATTTCCCTCCTCCGCCTTCCTCTGCTGCCTCCCGCCCTTCTCCTTCTCTCTCCTCCCCTCCCAAGCCTGTATTCCAGCAGGCAGGCAGTAGAGAAGGGAGGGAACACTTCATTGGCCAGGAAGACCCCCAGGGATAGGGCTTCTCTTTACCACCAGCCTCTGTCTGCCTGTGGTAGGTTTCCTTAGCTGGGGCACAGAGGCCTGACCCAGATGAACAGCAAGAAACCCAGGATTGTGTCTTACCCTTTGCCAGCCCACGGAGGCATCTCATCTGTTTGTTCCTTTTAGACGCCAACCTCTTGTTTTCCCGTTCTCCTCCCCTTTGCCCTGCTTCACAGTGTTCAGAGCCCCAGGGACGTGGTTGGGCTGCTGTTTGCCTCATAGGCCCATCAGGAAGCTAGGTCCAGCCACTCAGGTACTGTGGTCTATGTCGAAGGGGTTGTGCCGAGAGAACTCACTTGGCCTTTTGTTGCATATAGCTTTCTGTCATACTTTGTGACAGTTATCACACCATCTCATGTAAATACTCCAGGCTCTTGATCTTGCATGAGTGTGTGTGTGTGTGTGTGTGTGTGTGTGTGTGTGTGTGTGTACATTTTAGGTCAGAGGTCACTTAGGGATTTAGGCTCTCTCACTGAACCTGGAGCTCGCTGATCTGGATATACCAACCGGCCAGCAAGCCTCAGGTATGGGCTGTCTCCACCTCCCCAGCACTGTGATTGCAGCCATGCTTCATGGTCCATGACTTTTCACATGGGTCTTGGGGCAGGAGTTCAGTTTCTTGCGCTTGCCCAGTAGGTGTTTTACTGAGTGAGCCATCTTCCCAGCCCCACTGTCGAGTTCCCATTTGTAATCTTTGCTTTCCCACACCAATCTATGAGTGTTATTAGTTTCATTTTATTTTTAAAACTTTTTTTTGCTTTTTATTTATTTGTTTTGTCTGTGTTGGGGTGGGGTGTGAAGGACAACATGTGAAAGTCACCCCATGTGGGTCCCGGGGATTGAGATTGGGTGGTCAGATTTGGTGGCAGCTGCTTTCCCAGCGAAGCCGTCTTGTTGGCCCTAACTCCATTTGAGGTCCAAGAAAACTGAGGCCAAGAGAGACCAAGGAAAGGAGCCAAGTGAGGTTCATAGTCACAGAGGTGGTGGGGGGCAGAGCCAGTATTTGAGCTCAGCCTTTCTGATGTCTATCTCCAGTGCTGGCTCTCTTGGACCATGTGTTCCTCTCAGATAACATGGAAAATAATTTTTCAGGGAACATTTTCCCCAACCACATACTCCACAGATCATAAAAGCCAGTCCATGTCAACTCATTTGGATAGAGTTAGATGACTGAGTGGCAGTGTCTGTCCCAGCAATTGTCCTTTGTCTTCTCTAGAATGCCTGATGTGTTGCTGGCCATCTACTTGTGTCTGGCCTTGCAGTTGCCAGACAATGTGATCCTTCTTGTTGGTTTTCTATAAAATGTTAGGTTCCTTTTTTCTTTTTTCCCCTCCATTTGCATCTTCCTTCCTTCTCTCTCTCTTTCCTTTTGTGTAGTACCAAGGATTGAACTGGGGCTTCTGCATGGTAGAATGTTCTATCCCTGCCCATTTCCCCATTTTTCTTTGTGCAACAAAGAGTTGTTAAGTGGCTGATGCTGCCCCAGAGCCCCAGATAGCTGGGCTATAACAGGCCTGTGCCATTGGGCTTGGCTTTTACTCATTTTTTTCATGAAGTTCTGAATAGACTCTTGAGTGAGCCTTGGCCCTTTCTTGTAAACAGTATCGGCAGAGGGAAAAAAGAAAAGGAAGAATAGTTCTATCCCACCTGGGAACTCATCCAGGCAAATGCTTAATACATGCATAAATCTGTGTGTACACACATGTGCACACACAGACACATCTTTCCAGCTGTGAATTTGACCCCCCAGTGTTCTTGGCAAAGTCCCTTCTCTCTGTGTCTCTTCTGAACACAGCTGCTCAGCTAATGAGGGCAGCGTCCCTGAGCAGGATAAGATTAGCAGTTCTTTAAGGAGCGTGTCACTCAGCACGGGAATTTCCCCAGCGTGCACAGACATTGCTCACTCAGCCCTCGCTGTCAGCCTGGGGAGGTGGATGCTACTATCAATGTTGTTGTTTGCTGGTTTGTTCACTTACTTATTCTGGTACTGGGGATGGAACACACAGCTTCGTGCCTACTAAGTAAGTGCTCTAATCATTGAAACATACCTACAGCCTTTTCAGATTTTTATTTTGAGGTAGGATGTCTCTCACTGGGTTGCCCAGGCTTGCCTTGAACACATATTGTGGGCCAAGAAGATCTTGACCTCCTATTTCAGCCTCCCTAATAGTTGGGATTATGTGTGTGAGCTTGTGAGGCTGTGTGTCATTACTTGACTTGACCTCCCTCTGATTTATTTTTGCTGAGTTTCCAGCCACTGCCTCCCACATGCATCTCTTCCCTTGGGCTGATGAAATCAAGAAGGCTTGGGGACACTCTAGCTATCTTGACCCCATTTGTTTCACTTTCATGTCCTGATTGGTCTTCTCCCTTTCCATTACAGGATGCATTTGACCTCTTCAAAACTGGCCATTTCCTAGGTCACATCAGCTCATTTTACATTCATGCGTTAGTATCGATACACCCATCCATCCATCTACTCATCCATTTATACACCCATCTGTCCATCCATCCATTCATTCTTTCATCTATCCATCCATCCATCCATCCATCCATCCATCCATCATCTATATGCCCATCTACTCATTTATCTGTTTATTTGCCTATTCACCTACCCACCCACCCGCTACCCATCCATATGTCTGTCCGTCCATCCTCTCATCTACCCACTCATTTATCTACCCATCCATCTGCCCATCCATCCATTTATCCATCCATTTATCCATCCATTTATCCATCCATTTATCCATCCATTTATCCATCCATTTATCCATCCATTTATCCATCCATCCATCCATCCATCCATCCATCCATCCATCCATCCATCCATCCATCCAGTGTCTTCACTCAAGAAGAATAACTGTTTCAGTCATCTGGCTTGGTCCATTATTTTCCTTTCCCTACCCAGCTAGCTACATAATGAAGACAGACACCAGCAAGGACAAAACTGCTCTACTCTGTCCCTGTGCCATTTCTTTTCCCACCTCTCTTGTTTTCCTCCTACTCCTCAAATCTGGGGCTTTGTGGAATTTGTTTTCTCCGTCTCTTTGTTCATGGATATATGTTGAGAATTTACTGTACTCCCCATGAGTACAGGATTTGTGGGTGTCTGCCATCGTGAGAGGGACTATCCTTACCCCACTAAATTCTAGGGGTGGTTGATTTGTGTTCCTTTCTAGAACTGTAGCCTGATTTCCTTCATGAGATCCTTGCAGATCATGTCATCTTCTTCTGACTGCTTTTATGGACTAACTTTCTCTGGTTTTCTCACCCTTCTGCTTCCTGGCATTTCTGCTCCTCTTCATCCCTCTTAATAATAACCAAGAAAAACC